TATATATATAGTTTGATGAGCATCAGTTGGAAGTATGAACAAACGTTTGACTTTGTTGTCAACATGGACAGAAAACTATTTTCTGGTTTCTGCTGGTAGCCTCCTCAGTGGAGCCCCGCCTTTCCCTTCCGCCTTGGTCTGCCATCAAAGCTTCGTTCGTTCGGACGTCGAACAGCCCCGAGTTTGTTTCCCTCTCTTACCGAAAGCTTTTCATCGAAGTATGGAAAGCTCGGAACATGGTGGAAACGGTAAACCAGCAAGGATTTGCTTATTTCTCATCCGTAACGAGTTATTAGGGTTTATGTCGGAGTGTCTTCGCCCCATTTCAAACATGGCGCAGCAGGCTTCGACATGACGGCGCAGTTGTGCAAAGTTTGCACCGCAGAGGAGCTTATGTGTCCTCTAGTTTAAAACTTTGACCTTCGTTTTGACCAAGAATAGTCAAACAGCAACTATTTTGCTCTCTTAATGATACAGCTTCATTTCAGCTTGTTAGTTTTATTTAGGCTAATGGTTGTAGCATCGAAATGGTTATCATGTATTGAGGGCTGCGCTAGTTAGCTTGAGTGGCTAAAAACATTTAAAGTCTGAAGGCTAAACAAGCGTCTAAACTAATTGAGTTGTATTTTTACACGACTTGTTTTAAAGCATTATAATCAGTTCTATGAACTTAGTAACATMATTTGTTTTTGTGAACAACTTAGTCCAGTAGTTTTGCTCGTCCTGTGCAGCAGTTCGTTTTTACAACACGAGCAATGATCCCTAAAGGCATCAGGGATTAAGTTTGGGAAATTATGGCAGGTCGTTGTAACATATAATAAAAGCACTGCTAAAACTCAAGTTTCTTGCGTTGTAGCATGATAAATGACGTACATGTGAAAACTATGAACTTTAATAGTCTTCAAAGTATAAATAAGGTTTATTCATTTTAAATTTTAAATAATTATCTGCTTTATGTGGAATTATATGTTTTCCAGATCCCCCTCTCCTGCTGCCGTCTCTTCGCCTCTTCATCCCTCCTCTCCGCCTGGTGTCTGCAGCCATGTGGCACATCGTGCAGAGTGGAAGCGTGCAGGACTACGGCATTGTGGAGGAGTTCGTCAGCACCGTCACAGAAATGGTGCCTGAGCTGCTGAACACAGATCAGAAAGCTCAGCTCCTCCTGGGCCTCAGAGCACGGGTAAATTAAGACCTTATACTCATGCTTTTGCTGTTTAATCTGACATTTTTACACCAAGATGAAACATACTTCTTGCAGGTTCTTCTTGAACTGTGTCGATCCGAGCAGATCGCAGACACAGAATCCATACAGATCCACCTGGACCGGATAATGACCCTGGTATCAACATGGACAGCACAGGTTAGCTTCTTAAAATTTAGATCAACTTTTATTTTCACTTAAACTACAGCTGTGCTTTGCTTTTTCTCAGCCGTGTTTCGCTAATATCAGTTTTCCCGAGTCGAACTTTGTGGATCAAGTCAAATTGTTTTTAAAGGACCCTGAAGAGAAGGAGAAGTTCTTCCAGGTATAAATTTCTTGTCTCTGTCACACATTATAAGCTCGTCACACACTGTAATCTAAACTGTGATTGTTTTCCTCCAGGATGTTTTCCCTACAGACTTTGGACCTGATTATGACAACGCTCTGCAGATGCTGATGTTGGATTTCCTGTCCAGACTGGAGAAGCTCCTCCCACTTCCAGGCATTCAGGAGGTAGAAAAGCTACTACTGGAGGAGGAAAAAAAGAAACGTCTGTGCTCTTTTTTTGTTTGTTTCTATGATATATTTTCTGATGTCTAGACAGCCTCCATGCTCAGTGCTGTCCCCTCCGCCCTGGAGGAGTGCGTCCACTCAGTACCCGACCCCCAGAACCTAAAAGCTGTGCTGCATTACCACACAACACTCGGACTTTTAGATTTGTCCGGTGAGTCTACGTGTTTTACCTTTTTGTTTTMTTTTCTAACACGCTGATTACTGATACGATGATAGATTCAATTACCAAACCTTGATGCCAAACTGTTTCCTCTTTTCCCCACAGATGAAACCCAAACCATTTCATCCTCYGTTGGAAACTGCATCCTGTCGTCGCTGTCCCTCCCTCGGGTGGAGAAGGTCATGATCGATCCCGACCAAATCGAGTCTCCGTCAGAGCAGCTGCAGGACTGCCTGGCCCTCAAAGTGGACAATGAAACTGTGACGCTGCTGGACTACATTCAGATAGAGCAGCCTTCCACTGTGGAGCTTAGCGAGCATCAGGAAACTGAAGCAAACGTGAAGGAAACGGCAGAAGAGGAAACCCAGAAGATTTTAGGTGACGCCTTAAAGCCTGCAGCTTTTCAGCCGTTGAAGCAAAGCAAGAGGCTCCGGCTGAAAAGAAAAGCTTTAAAAGCAATAAAGTGTTCGGTTAAAGCTAAGAAGAGGCGAAAGAAGCACCCCAACACTAAGACGTGTCCCGTGTGCAATAAGACGTTCCTGCGAGCTGCAGCCATGAGGCGACACCGGGACATTCACAGCGAGAAGCAGAACTTTAAGTACAAGTGCGGCAGCTGTGACAAAAGGTTCAGGGACCAGTACGACTTGAACCGACACGTGCTGCGTGTTCACGAGAAGGGGGAGAGCACGGACAGCGTCCTAGAGAAGGAAGCGGCAGAACCCAGCACGTCTGAGGTGTTGGAAAATAAAAACTGTTCAGTGTGCGGGAAGTATTTTGCCCGACATGGAGACATGGAGCGGCACGTCAAGTCGCACTCAGAGGACCGGCCCTACAAGTGTTCCTTCTGCAACAAGACGTTCAAGAGCCCGTACGTGTTAAAACGACACGAAACGCAGATCTGCAAGAGCAGAGAGAACAAGCAGCCGGAGAAGAACGATTCTGATCCGCAAACGGAAGCGAACGAGGAGCCGCAACRGGAAAACCYCGAAGAGCCGAGCTTAAATCCACAACCGGAACAGATRGAGGYGCRGCAAKTGGAAAACRACGAAGAGCCGAGCTTAAATCCACAACCYGAACAGATCGAGGAGCCGCGCCCTGCTGCGCCGCAAGGAAAACCCCCATCGAATTCCCTGTCGTCTTCAGATAATCCCGAGAAAGTGAAAGTTTGTCCCATCTGCTGCAGGATCCTTCACCAGAACAGAGACCTGAAGAAGCATTTACGATCCCACTCTGAGGAGAGACCCTACATCTGCATCACGTGTGAGAAGGGATTCAAGTACAAAGACACGATAAAGAAACATCAGACTCTGAAGGGTCACACGGGCATCCGGGTGGAGCAGTGCCAGAAGCTGGAACAGATGTTTGCCGGGGTTGCTTCCCAGACTTTGGATGAAGCCGATTTACAGGAGCAGCAGCAGAACTCGGAGGCGCCCGCCAACGCCTCYACGGAGGGCCCGTTTGCACCTGTGCCCAGCATCACCAACAAAAACCTGAAGGTGTGCCCCGTCTGCTCCAAGACTTTTGTTCAGTTCAAAACSCTGAACCAGCACATTCAGAGCCACACGGTAGATTGGCCCTATCATTGCATCCACTGCGGGAGGCGCTTCAAGCACATCGACGGGCTGAAGAGGCACCACCTGTACGCCATTTGTCGCAACAAAGACATCCGTTTCCTGCGAAAAAAGCGTCCCAGTGACAGCGAAGAGAAGAGCGCCGACCCTCCACCAAAGATGCCCGTGTGGTGCTCCAACTGTGGCAAATACTTCCAGGAGCTGTCTGACCTGAAGGAGCACCAAGCCACCGTTTGCAACGTCGACTTGGGCGTTTTGAAGAAATGCGACGACTGCGGGAAAGAGTTCAAGACCATGACGACGCTCCGGGTGCACCAGAGGATCCACAACCCGCTCTTCTGCAAAGAGTGCAAGAAGGTGCTTCCGGATAAGGCCGCGTTCGAGAGGCACAAGCTGATGCACGACCCGGTGCAGTGCACCATGTGCGACGAGAAGTTCACCATGCTGAGGCGCCTGAGGGAACACTACGAGAAGCAGCACAACTTCACCGGACCTTTCCCCTGCCCTGAATGTGACAAAACCTTCACCGTGCTGTCTTACCTCATCCTCCACCAGAGAATCCACAACCAGGTGTTCCCGTTCGTCTGCAGCGTCTGCCAAGAGAAGTTCAGGACGTCCAACTGCCTGACGATCCACCTGCGGAAGCACACGGGAGAAAAACCCTTCCTATGCTGGAAGTGCGGGAAAGCCTACCGCTCAGCCTCCGAGCTCACGGTCCACATGGGGACGCACTCGGAGAAGAAATCCTGGACCTGCACGCAGTGCGACATGGCGTACCGCACCAAGATGCAGCTCCGAAACCACGTGGAGCAAGTCCACGACGGCGTCCGCTTCCACTGCGTCACCTGCGGGAAGCAGTTCATGAAGGAGATGTCGCTGAAGCGGCACGAGCTCCTCCACACGGGCGAGCGGCCCTTCCCCTGCATGTTCTGCGAGAAGCGCTTCCTAACGGGCAACGAGCTCCTGCGCCACAGCCGGTACCACACCGGCGTGCGCCCGTACAAGTGCGACGTGTGCAACAAGGCCTTCATCCAGTCGAGCTACTTGAAGATCCACAAGCGCCTGCACACGGGGGAGAAGCCGTATCAATGCAGCAAATGTAACAAATGCTTCCGTTTGTACAACAGCGCGGTGAAGCACCAACGCACTCACTTGAGGAAAAAGGATTTTGTTTGCGAAGACTGTGGGTTGATATTCTTCCAGAAGAAGCAGCTGCTGGAACATTCAGTCACTCATTCACTCACTCAGGAGAACATAGAGTCCTCATTCCCTAACGAAATCGAGATACAATTTGAATAAAATCCCAACTTGTTTATCTTGTTGATATTTGCAGACAAACTCCCCATTTCTTCATTTGATTTGTTAGAAAATTGAGTTCCTTTTAGTGTAATTTTGAATCACAAATGATTGATAAAAGTGAGGCATGTCTGCTTCTATGACTTTTAAATCAGCCTTATATTTTTGTTTCATTATTTCACAAGGAAACGGTGACATTTTTTAAATAAATAAGCAAAGTTCCAGACATGGTTTTGTTTTTTTTAGTGATTGGTGAAGTAATTATCAGCTGCCTAAAACCTGGAAAGGAAAAGTGGATAAATAAAATACATGGATGTACTTGTTTGATTGTCTTATTACTTTTTAAGCAAATCAAGCAGTAGTAGAAAATACAGTATGATAGATTATTTATACAATCATGACTAATATTGAAATTCAGAGCCAATGTGTTTTTTTGTCATGTCATCTWTGTACTAAATATCTGTTAGTGTTTTTAAAGTCATCAAATTATATATTTTTTTACTTAGACAAGTGTTTAAATTAATGCAGAAAAGACTAAGAGAAAAATCTGTCTAAATTTTTGTATTTGAACCATTTAATGGTTGTTACAATAACCTAATTAAATTTTATTGCATTTTTTTACTACTACATTTTTTAAATATATTATATTACAAAATTAAATTCGGAAACAAGTATTTTCAACAAGAGAGAAAATGTTTTGTTGCATTTCCTCAAATGGCCTATGTGTGGTGATGATGAGCTAGTGGTGATTACCACAAGAAAAAAAATAGCTCTTTACYCTCATATGTTAGAGGCAACAATTATTTTTTCCAGTTTTTCATTTCAAAGTGAACATATATGTCTTTTTAGTGAGTTAGAATATTTATGACTTGTAATTTATAGCAACAAAACAACTTTCTACCACGCATGCGCACTTTAAACAAGCTGATCCCAGCAGAGATTCAGACCTCCTCATTTATTTACTGGCCCCAGACCTGCCCCAAGGCCGGACAACTTTTTAAAGCTGCTTTGTATAGAAGTCACTGCATGTTGTATTAATAAGGAAAAAAAGGGGGAAGTGGATGGTGGTGGTGGGAGCTGGATGAGCAGTGATCATTAAAACTCAGTCTGAACCGTGCCTCTCCAGAAG